TATATCTATATATAGAAAATTAAGAAACTTAATGAAAGATAAAAAATTATTTATATAATATAAAGTACCATATTTAGACTTATATGCTTGAATAACATAACCTTTTACTTATTCTGTAGATATGAAAAGTAAGGAAGTGACTAGTCGTTATGATACTGTGCTATGTCTGAGTTTTAGCAAGTCGTGATTCACTTGCAGAAGCCCAAATATTTTCCTGTGATATCCAAAAGGTAAAGAAATTAACTCCTTTGTCTAGTTGCCTTGTGGCGAGGGATAATTTGGAGAACTAACCTTTAATTTGCTGGTGAAGATGATGGAACTTATCAATGGTAGAAAGAAAGAGATTCTAATGTCGTTCCTCCTTCCAAAATGCCTGTCCTTTTCACTCTCTTTTTATTTTACAAACATATTGTGCATTGTTTCTATTCATTTTCTCTTGCACACAATATATATACTTGATTGGAAATTTGACCCTTATTCCTCCAAATTCAATATAGTCATGATTCTTTCCTATACACATTACAAATGTGTATTTTTAGTTGATGACTGGTGATATACGTACTTATCACAAAATACCATACAAATTATGGAAAATTAATATTGTTAATTAGTATATATTTTGAAGTTTAATTATTTAGTTTTCTTTTACTAATTGTGTTGGCTTTTCAATTTGAGCATCTTCAAAGAATGCTTACAATTGTTTCTGTTAAGTGCTGAAGCAGACAATGACAATCAATGACCTAAAATATATGTATCATAGATTGATATTTCTAGGTCTTTCACCTTGTCCTGGATGGTCACCGAAAGTAGTAACACAAGACGAAAGCATATAATCAATATCTTCTTATATACACAATTTTTTCTACGTTATTCTCCCTTCTTCCCCGGGGTGCCCTTTTATTCTCTGCAAAGCAAAACATGTGGTTTTCCCACTTCCACATATCTCTTTCAATAATTCTCCACAAAAAATATGCAACATTTTGATCAATGCTGATCTGTAAATGCAACACATGTCCTTGGTTCATAATTATCGTCGGTAATCTATATTATCGTGTTTGTGTTAGTTTGCCTTAAATTAGTGGTGTCCACTACTTTTCTTTTCCTCCAACAGGATATCTTGAAAATTATTTATTTAATGGGTTTGTCTGCCAGACATGTTAGAAAATGATCATGCATTTGTTATCACTAACAATATTTGTTAAAAGAAGTTATTACGTTTTGGTATTTCGATCTTGTTATTTATTTTTCTTTTTAATTTATGCATATCTACTGATTAAAAAAATATAAAAATCTCTTTCAAAATTAATGT